ACTATCGAGTTGAAGTGGAAGCTGCTGTTTTGTCTGGTCTTCCGGATAGGGCGTTAGTAGAGACTGTCGTGTGTGACACAGCAGGAGACATTGTTCAGGATCGACTGCAGCCACAGACTACTGACTCAAGTGTTGTGGGCGTTGCAGACGAGGAATTGATCTCACCTGTTCGTGTGATTCAGAGTGAGACAAGACCAGTGAGTGAGGACGCAGAACTCGACGTGTTGAGTACAGACAGTCTGAGAGAGAGACTGAGGGATGCGATGAACAGAATCAGTGAACTTGAGAATGCCAAGGCAGAGCTGAGTGTGCGTGTATGTGAGCTGGAAGGTGTCGTTGTGTGTGACGACAAGTCGACGAGTGTGGGTGAGAGTTTGTCAAAGGAGGTTGAAGAGGCTGTTGCCTTGTCGAAACACAATGAGGATCTGAAGAGAGAGGTGGACTTGTTGCGAAACAGTGTATCAGAACGCACAATGCTGTTGGACGATGTGTGCATGGAGATGAATGAGATTAGAGGATCACTGGGCTCCCTGTTGAGTCAGGTGAGAGATTTGCGTGCAGCACATACGGAAGCGAACGCCGATCGAGCCGACATGGCGAACAAACTGATTGAATATGAACGGGCTGCAGTTTGCTTGGATTCAGCTGCCGATCATCCAACACGAGAGGTGCAAGACGCCGATGAACCGTCGAAACCCTCACTATCCGAATATAACGCATTGGACGAGCTGTGTAGAGATTTGCAGCGTGCACTGGACACACGATCATCGGAGTTGGAGACAGTAGTTGAGAAAATGAGAGGATGTGAATCAGTGAATGCAGCGTTGACGCGTGAGTGTGAGTTGTTAAAGCATCGTGTAGAGAAGTACACAAGGATGACTACTGATCTGGAGAATGATGTGAGTCGAGCGAAGGCACTTGTGCCACTAGTTGTGAATGAGCTGAGAGACTTGCGCAGCGACTATGGAGATTGGTGTAGAGAACACGAAGAACGAGTTGGTGAGTGCATTGAAGCTGTTGGGACAGCGCTATCGGCGGTATCATCGTCATTGGATGATGGTGGTGTGGTTGAACGTGTGGACCGTGATTGTGGAACGAGTGATTGGCCAGAGGAGTTGGATGCTTCTGTGAGCGAAATGAGAAGACTGTGCGATTCGAACCGTGAGCTGTCAGAGGATCTGTGCAAGTACCGCGAATTGTGTGATAAGCAAGCGTCGGAGATATCATCGATGCAGGTAGCTTTGCGTGAAGCAGTTGAGCAAGCGTCATCGGCACGCGATGAACTCGAGGCTTATAGACAGGAGAAAGTGAGCGCGCTGTCAGAGTTGGAGAGACGACTGGCTGTTTCGAGCGAGGAGTGTTGTGCATTACAGGCTGAAGTGCAGCGACTTGAGAAGTCGATAGAAGAGAATTGTAAGACAGCGGTTGCAATAGCCAGTCGAGACTGGGAGTTGCACATAGAGCAAGTGACGAGTGAACGTGACACTGCGCTTAGAGAGTTGGTGGAACTACGTGGAAGACTGGAGGCAGCAGAGAGTGTGAGGATTGGAGGTGTTGAAGAAGCCGGTGCAGGCGCAGGCGCAGTAGCAGTAGCGGTAGCAGGCGAAGAAGTGGTGACGAGAGTGATGACAAGCGATGTGAGAACTGAGAAAGTCATCGAGTGTGTCATTGAACATGATGTGGCCTTGTCGTCAGGATTGACGACACGTGAGTGGAGAGAGACTGTGAGCGTGGGAGTTGGTCATGATGTTGAGGACGACGAATTGATTGGCGGAAGGGTAGTGGACGGTTGGAGCGACTACAAGTTGGAGTGGAGCGATACTGGTGATGAGGACAAGTCGCCGGCGAGTGTACCGAGTAGTGTTGTATTTGTGGATGCAGGCACTCAGGTGGTGGTTAGTGAGTTGTCGTTGATCAGTGGTGATGAGAGTTTGTCAAAATCAGAGTCAGCCGGTGTTGGTGCTGGTGCTGGTGTTGAAATGGAGGCGGCGGCTGCAGAGGAGGAGGAATCGCGTAAGTCGATGGACGAGCTACGTGCAGAGTTGGCCTTCTGCTATGACCAGATAGCGACGCTATCGAGATGTGTGGAGGAGAGCGGTGACTCGTTGAGAGATGTGCGTCATTTGTTGAGTGTGAAGGAGAGAGAGGTAGCTGAACTGGAGGAGGAGAAGCGTCGTTTGTCGGTGGAGGTGAGTGAGGGTCATGAGACACTGTGTGCAGAACGACGCGATTTGGAGATGCTTCGTGCGAATGTTGCTGCGTTGGAGAAGGAGATGGAGGTGATGACGAGGCGGCGGGATATTGAGAGTGGTGTGTCAGATGGTGTTGTTGTTGTTGGAGAGGAAGTGTGTGTGCAAACGGAGGTGGAGGATGTCTTCGACTTGGTGTCGAAGCTGCAGCTGGAGGTGTCTCGTCTGCGTAGTGAACAATTGACGATGTCCACAGCTCTCGAGCTTTCCCAGTGTGAGTTGGACAGGAAACGTGATGAAGTGCAGAAGTTGGAATCACGCGTTGCGGCGGTGGAGGCGAGTCGATCCATACCTTGTGAAGGTTTGACGAGAACGCCTGATGTGACTGTTGATGAGTTGACGCGAGTTGACTATCGAGTTGAAGTGGAAGCTGCTGTTTTGTCTGGTCTTCCGGATAGGGCGTTAGTAGAGACTGTCGTGTGTGACACAGCAGGAGACATTGTTCCGGATCGACTGCAGCCACAGACTACTGACTCAAGTGTTGTGGGCGTTGCAGACGAGGAATTGATCTCACCTGTTCGTGTGATTCAGAGTGAGACAAGACCAGTGAGTGAGGACGCAGAACTCGACGTGTTGAGTACAGACAGTCTGAGAGAGAGACTGAGGGATGCGATGAACAGAATCAGTGAACTTGAGAATGCCAAGGCAGAGCTGAGTGTGCGTGTATGTGAGCTGGAAGGTGTCGTTGTGTGTGACGACAAGTCGACGAGTGTGGGTGAGAGTTTGTCAAAGGAGGTTGAAGAGGCTGTTGCCTTGTCGAAACACAATGAGGATCTGAAGAGAGAGGTGGACTTGTTGCGAAACAGTGTATCAGAACGCACAATGCTGTTGGACGATGTGTGCATGGAGATGAATGAGATTAGAGGATCACTGGGCTCCCTGTTGAGTCAGGTGAGAGATTTGCGTGCAGCACATACGGAAGCGAACGCCGATCGAGCCGACATGGCGAACAAACTGATTGAATATGAACGGGCTGCAGTTTGCTTGGATTCAGCTGCCGATCATCCAACACGAGAGGTGCAAGACGCCGATGAACCGTCGAAACCCTCACTATCCGAATATAACGCATTGGACGAGCTGTGTAGAGATTTGCAGCGTGCACTGGACACACGATCATCGGAGTTGGAGACAGTAGTTGAGAAAATGAGAGGATGTGAATCAGTGAATGCAGCGTTGACGCGTGAGTGTGAGTTGTTAAAGCATCGTGTAGAGAAGTACACAAGGGTGACTACTGATCTGGAGAATGATGTGAGTCGAGCGAAGGCACTTGTGCCACTAGTTGTGAATGAGCTGAGAGACTTGCGCACCGACTATGGAGATTGGTGTAGAGAACACGAAGAACGAGTTGGTGAGTGCATTGAAGCTGTTGGGACAGCGCTATCAGCGGTATCATCGTCATTGGATGATGGTGGTGTGGTTGAACGTGTGGACCGTGATTGTGGAACGAGTGATTGGCCAGAGGAGTTGGATGCTTCTGTGAGCGAAATGAGAAGACTGTGCGATTCGAACCGTGAGCTGTCAGAGGATCTGTGCAAGTACCGCGAATTGTGTGATAAGCAAGCGTCGGAGATATCATCGATGCAGGTAGCTTTGCGTGAAGCAGTTGAGCAAGCGTCATCGGCACGCGATGAACTCGAGGCTTATAGACAGGAGAAAGTGAGCGCGCTGTCAGAGTTGGAGAGACGACTGGCTGTTTCGAGCGAGGAGTGTTGTGCATTACAGGCTGAAGTGCAGCGACTTGAGAAGTCGATAGAAGAGAATTGTAAGACAGCGGTTGCAATAGCCAGTCGAGACTGGGAGTTGCACATAGAGCAAGTGACGAGTGAACGTGACACTGCGCTTAGAGAGTTGGTGGAACTACGTGGAAGACTGGAGGCAGCAGAGAGTGTGAGGATTGGAGGTGTTGAAGAAGCCGGTGCAGGCGCAGGCGCAGTAGCAGTAGCGGTAGCAGGCGAAGAAGTGGTGACGAGAGTGATGACAAGCGATGTGAGAACTGAGAAAGTCATCGAGTGTGTCATTGAACATGATGTGGCCTTGTCGTCAGGATTGACGACACGTGAGTGGAGAGAGACTGTGAGCGTGGGAGTTGGTCATGATGTTGAGGACGACGAATTGATTGGCGGAAGGGTAGTGGACGGTTGGAGCGACTACAAGTTGGAGTGGAGCGGTACTGGTGATGAGGACAAGTCGCCGGCGAGTGTACCGAGTAGTGTTGTATTTGTGGATGCAGGCACTCAGGTGGTGGTTAGTGAGTTGTCGTTGATCAGTGGTGATGAGAGTTTGTCAAAATCAGAGTCAGCCGGTGTTGGTGCTGGTGCTGGTGTTGAAATGGAGGCGGCGGCTGCAGAGGAGGAGGAATCGCGTAAGTCGATGGACGAGCTACGTGCAGAGTTGGCCTTCTGCTATGACCAGATAGCGACGCTATCGAGATGTGTGGAGGAGAGCGGTGACTCGTTGAGAGATGTGCGTCATTTGTTGAGTGTGAAGGAGAGAGAGGTAGCTGAACTGGAGGAGGAGAAGCGTCGTTTGTCGGTGGAGGTGAGTGAGGGTCATGAGACACTGTGTGCAGAACGACGCGATTTGGAGATGCTTCGTGCGAATGTTGCTGCGTTGGAGAAGGAGATGGAGGTGATGACGAGGCGGCGGGATATTGAGAGTGGTGTGTCAGATGGTGTTGTTGTTGTTGGAGAGGAAGTGTGTGTGCAAACGGAGGTGGAGGATGTCTTCGACTTGGTGTCGAAGCTGCAGCTGGAGGTGTCTCGTCTGCGTAGTGAACAATTGACGATGTCCACAGCTCTCGAGCTTTCCCAGTGTGAGTTGGACAGGAAACGTGATGAAGTGCAGAAGTTGGAATCACGCGTTGCGGCGGTGGAGGCGAGTCGATCCATACCTTGTGAAGGTTTGACGAGAACGCCTGATGTGACTGTTGATGAGTTGACGCGAGTTGACTATCGAGTTGAAGTGGAAGCTGCTGTTTTGTCTGGTCTTCCGGATAGGGCGTTAGTAGAGACTGTCGTGTGTGACACAGCAGGAGACATTGTTCCGGATCGACTGCAGCCACAGACTACTGACTCAAGTGTTGTGGGCGTTGCAGACGAGGAATTGATCTCACCTGTTCGTGTGATTCAGAGTGAGACAAGACCAGTGAGTGAGGACGCAGAACTCGACGTGTTGAGTACAGACAGTCTGAGAGAGAGACTGAGGGATGCGATGAACAGAATCAGTGAACTTGAGAATGCCAAGGCAGAGCTGAGTGTGCGTGTATGTGAGCTGGAAGGTGTCGTTGTGTGTGACGACAAGTCGACGAGTGTGGGTGAGAGTTTGTCAAAGGAGGTTGAAGAGGCTGTCGCCTTGTCGAAACACAATGAGGATCTGAAGAGAGAGGTGGACTTGTTGCGAAACAGTGTATCAGAACGCACAATGCTGTTGGACGATGTGTGCATGGAGATGAATGAGATTAGAGGATCACTGGGCTCCCTGTTGAGTCAGGTGAGAGATTTGCGTGCAGCACATACGGAAGCGAACGCCGATCGAGCCGACATGGCGAACAAACTGATTGAATATGAACGGGCTGCAGTTTGCTTGGATTCAGCTGCCGATCATCCAACACGAGAGGTGCAAGACGCCGATGAACCGTCGAAACCCTCACTATCCGAATATAACGCATTGGACGAGCTGTGTAGAGATTTGCAGCGTGCACTGGACACACGATCATCGGAGTTGGAGACAGTAGTTGAGAAAATGAGAGGATGTGAATCAGTGAATGCAGCGTTGACGCGTGAGTGTGAGTTGTTAAAGCATCGTGTAGAGAAGTACACAAGGGTGACTACTGATCTGGAGAATGATGTGAGTCGAGCGAAGGCACTTGTGCCACTAGTTGTGAATGAGCTGAGAGACTTGCGCACCGACTATGGAGATTGGTGTAGAGAACACGAAGAACGAGTTGGTGAGTGCATTGAAGCTGTTGGGACAGCGCTATCAGCGGTATCATCGTCATTGGATGATGGTGGTGTGGTTGAACGTGTGGACCGTGATTGTGGAACGAGTGATTGGCCAGAGGAGTTGGATGCTTCTGTGAGCGAAATGAGAAGACTGTGCGATTCGAACCGTGAGCTGTCAGAGGATCTGTGCAAGTACCGCGAATTGTGTGATAAGCAAGCGTCGGAGATATCATCGATGCAGGTAGCTTTGCGTGAAGCAGTTGAGCAAGCGTCATCGGCACGCGATGAACTCGAGGCTTATAGACAGGAGAAAGTGAGCGCGCTGTCAGAGTTGGAGAGACGACTGGCTGTTTCGAGCGAGGAGTGTTGTGCATTACAGGCTGAAGTGCAGCGACTTGAGAAGTCGATAGAAGAGAATTGTAAGACAGCGGTTGCAATAGCCAGTCGAGACTGGGAGTTGCACATAGAGCAAGTGACGAGTGAACGTGACACTGCGCTTAGAGAGTTGGTGGAACTACGTGGAAGACTGGAGGCAGCAGAGAGTGTGAGGATTGGAGGTGTTGAAGAAGCCGGTGCAGGCGCAGGCGCAGTAGCAGTAGCGGTAGCAGGCGAAGAAGTGGTGACGAGAGTGATGACAAGCGATGTGAGAACTGAGAAAGTCATCGAGTGTGTCATTGAACATGATGTGGCCTTGTCGTCAGGATTGACGACACGTGAGTGGAGAGAGACTGTGAGCGTGGGAGTTGGTCATGATGTTGAGGACGACGAATTGATTGGCGGAAGGGTAGTGGACGGTTGGAGCGACTACAAGTTGGAGTGGAGCGGTACTGGTGATGAGGACAAGTCGCCGGCGAGTGTACCGAGTAGTGTTGTATTTGTGGATGCAGGCACTCAGGTGGTGGTTAGTGAGTTGTCGTTGATCAGTGGTGATGAGAGTTTGTCAAAATCAGAGTCAGCCGGTGTTGGTGCTGGTGCTGGTGTTGAAATGGAGGCGGCGGCTGCAGAGGAGGAGGAATCGCGTAAGTCGATGGACGAGCTACGTGCAGAGTTGGCCTTCTGCTATGACCAGATAGCGACGCTATCGAGATGTGTGGAGGAGAGCGGTGACTCGTTGAGAGATGTGCGTCATTTGTTGAGTGTGAAGGAGAGAGAGGTAGCTGAACTGGAGGAGGAGAAGCGTCGTTTGTCGGTGGAGGTGAGTGAGGGTCATGAGACACTGTGTGCAGAACGACGCGATTTGGAGATGCTTCGTGCGAATGTTGCTGCGTTGGAGAAGGAGATGGAGGTGATGACGAGGCGGCGGGATATTGAGAGTGGTGTGTCAGATGGTGTTGTTGTTGTTGGAGAGGAAGTGTGTGTGCAAACGGAGGTGGAGGATGTCTTCGACTTGGTGTCGAAGCTGCAGCTGGAGGTGTCTCGTCTGCGTAGTGAACAATTGACGATGTCCACAGCTCTCGAGCTTTCCCAGTGTGAGTTGGACAGGAAACGTGATGAAGTGCAGAAGTTGGAATCACGCGTTGCGGCGGTGGAGGCGAGTCGATCCATACCTTGTGAAGGTTTGACGAGAACGCCTGATGTGACTGTTGATGAGTTGACGCGAGTTGACTATCGAGTTGAAGTGGAAGCTGCTGTTTTGTCTGGTCTTCCGGATAGGGCGTTAGTAGAGACTGTCGTGTGTGACACAGCAGGAGACATTGTTCCGGATCGACTGCAGCCACAGACTACTGACTCAAGTGTTGTGGGCGTTGCAGACGAGGAATTGATCTCACCTGTTCGTGTGATTCAGAGTGAGACAAGACCAGTGAGTGAGGACGCAGAACTCGACGTGTTGAGTACAGACAGTCTGAGAGAGAGACTGAGGGATGCGATGAACAGAATCAGTGAACTTGAGAATGCCAAGGCAGAGCTGAGTGTGCGTGTATGTGAGCTGGAAGGTGTCGTTGTGTGTGACGACAAGTCGACGAGTGTGGGTGAGAGTTTGTCAAAGGAGGTTGAAGAGGCTGTCGCCTTGTCGAAACACAATGAGGATCTGAAGAGAGAGGTGGACTTGTTGCGAAACAGTGTATCAGAACGCACAATGCTGTTGGACGATGTGTGCATGGAGATGAATGAGATTAGAGGATCACTGGGCTCCCTGTTGAGTCAGGTGAGAGATTTGCGTGCAGCACATACGGAAGCGAACGCCGATCGAGCCGACATGGCGAACAAACTGATTGAATATGAACGGGCTGCAGTTTGCTTGGATTCAGCTGCCGATCATCCAACACGAGAGGTGCAAGACGCCGATGAACCGTCGAAACCCTCACTATCCGAATATAACGCATTGGACGAGCTGTGTAGAGATTTGCAGCGTGCACTGGACACACGATCATCGGAGTTGGAGACAGTAGTTGAGAAAATGAGAGGATGTGAATCAGTGAATGCAGCGTTGACGCGTGAGTGTGAGTTGTTAAAGCATCGTGTAGAGAAGTACACAAGGGTGACTACTGATCTGGAGAATGATGTGAGTCGAGCGAAGGCACTTGTGCCACTAGTTGTGAATGAGCTGAGAGACTTGCGCACCGACTATGGAGATTGGTGTAGAGAACACGAAGAACGAGTTGGTGAGTGCATTGAAGCTGTTGGGACAGCGCTATCAGCGGTATCATCGTCATTGGATGATGGTGGTGTGGTTGAACGTGTGGACCGTGATTGTGGAACGAGTGATTGGCCAGAGGAGTTGGATGCTTCTGTGAGCGAAATGAGAAGACTGTGCGATTCGAACCGTGAGCTGTCAGAGGATCTGTGCAAGTACCGCGAATTGTGTGATAAGCAAGCGTCGGAGATATCATCGATGCAGGTAGCTTTGCGTGAAGCAGTTGAGCAAGCGTCATCGGCACGCGATGAACTCGAGGCTTATAGACAGGAGAAAGTGAGCGCGCTGTCAGAGTTGGAGAGACGACTGGCTGTTTCGAGCGAGGAGTGTTGTGCATTACAGGCTGAAGTGCAGCGACTTGAGAAGTCGATAGAAGAGAATTGTAAGACAGCGGTTGCAATAGCCAGTCGAGACTGGGAGTTGCACATAGAGCAAGTGACGAGTGAACGTGACACTGCGCTTAGAGAGTTGGTGGAACTACGTGGAAGACTGGAGGCAGCAGAGAGTGTGAGGATTGGAGGTGTTGAAGAAGCAGGTGCAGTAGCATTATCAGGTCATTTTGCATCATCCTCATTTCATTCACCGTTATCTCTTGTTCAATCTCGTGAACCTGTTCAATCATTTACATCCGGTTTGGATTCTGAACTTTCTCACTTACGTCGTGAATTTTCTAAAACTTCAATGTCTTTAATGTATGCCGTTGATCTTGTTGATGATTGCTTCAAACTCCTAGTGTTATTCATCCGTCTATTGACTGAAATTCTGAATACCTCATCGTCTTCCATCCTAGACGCTGAAATGTCTTCCAATGTAATAAACAATTTAAAAAATATTCTATCTATTACAAATTCTACTTATTTTGTTGAATATTTTGGTGATCATGCGCAGATTTTATCAGAATTTAGAAGTTTATGTGATCTCATCGCGTCGAATCAACAATCCTCCACATGTTCAATTTGTCATCGAATCATTGTTCCCAATGATTCGATAATTTTATCTAGTTTATGCATGAATTGTTCTACGGATTTAGAAGGTTTAGATTATGCCAGGTTTAGAGAATTTATCGATTCCAGTCAGACGAATCGATATTCTAATGTTGCGTCTACTGACCATCCTACAACTAACGGTACTAATGATGAAATAGTTGAAACTGCTAGACACTCATCAACTTGCCTATCTGTACCTATCAATAACGAGAATGAGATTTGTGATACTCCTGATGCGAATACTATCACCACTATTCGAGCTGAATTAATTCAGACTATCCAGGATCTTGAAGATAAACTTCTAATTGCTGAATCAGAAAGAAATCGCTTAAATCAATTAATCTATTCATTATCGATGCCAACGTCTACTACGTCTTGTTCTTCTTCTACTGAAGACAGTGACGAATACAAACAATTACAACTTGACTTTTCAAATATCAATAATACAAATAAGCATTTAAAATTATTTATTCATGAATTATTTGAAGAAATTTATAAATATACAAAAGTATCCATAGAAAAGTCATCCTCAACATCATCTTTAATTGAATCTTTGCAAAAATTAATTTGTTTAAATCACCAAGTGAATGACTACATTGACCTTGAAGATATTTCCCGCCGTTTTGAAACAATTATTGAACAATTAAAACAATTAAAGGACACCAACAAAGAAGATGATGGTGATGTTGATATCTTGGAGATGCAAAACCGTTTGGAACAAATGCAGTTAGATTATGAAAAACTTTGTTTTGAAAATATTTATTTAACTAAAAAAATCAATACACAACTATCAATTGATAATCAAGATAAATTGGATATTGGAAGAGGTATATTAAATTGTACAATAGAACAATTGAAACAATTGAATGTACTGATCAATAAATCAATAATTGATAAAAGTTGTTATCCACTTGATAATATTGATGATACATTTAAAATATTGGATGATATTCGCATGTCAGAGAATTTAATGATGAAATTAAATACCGGGGAATATAGGTCAGAAATTATTCAATGTTGTCAATATGTTAAACAATTAATTGAAGAAAATTTAAAATTGAAAACTTTACAAGATTTAAAGCTATCCACTCCATCAGATGTTGATGATGGTGATAATGCTGACGGCGATACGCCACCGGCTTATCAACTTGATGCCAATCTTCATGAACAATTCTCTACCCTAGAGACTTCACTGTCAACCACTATGAATTGCCTGTTGAATCGTGTAGACGAATTAACTCAAAGAATTGATGTCCTACAGAGTGGAATTGAAAAATCTTCCCGACATGTCAGGTCGTCAGAAGCTAACCGTCTTGAAGAGTTTCAACAGGACATTAATAATCAAATATTAAATGATCAATTGACTTCATTAAAACAACGAGACATTGAATGGGAAGTTAACATCAATACCCTTTATAATTGTTTATCACAAGTGATCGTAGACGATGAAGACAAAGGCAGAAGGCAGAAGGATGACGAGGAGGTGGAGAACGAAGACAACAAGTCCACGAAACAGCCTATTTATCATCCAGAAGAAATCTTACCCCAATTCAATCGATTTATCAATACTGCACAAACACAAATCAATAGAATAGCTAGTCTTGAAAATCAATACAATGAACTCAATATACAATTGAATCAATTATCAGAAGAATATGAACAAGCACGTTGTGAAGTGAAACGTCTACAGACAACAGCTAGTCAACAAACTAATGATGCCGATAGATATACAAATATGTTAGATTATTTAGTAGCTAAAATTATTGATCTTTCAAGTGAATTACCTGATCCCAGTTCATCGCCTGGCGATGATCAGGATCATGAATTAGATGTTATGCGTATCCCGAAGTCTTCATCTAGTACAGATATTGAACTTATTTTGATAAGAATTAAAAAATACCTTTGTGAGTATAAATCAATTCAAGAAAAGTTGAGACAAGTTGAAGAAGAGAAGGCTTCACTTATTAATCGATTAGCAAAACAATTTGACCAGCAACCAGAAGAAGTAGTGGAACAAGAAGAAGTGCATACAACTCTGCCTGTCTTCTCTTTAGAGAAACCTGTTGAAAAGATTGAAACTGTCGATACTGAATGCCTTCAAATGATGTCATATGCTATGCCACCACCTTCTGCTCCACCCTCTTCTCATAAAGACACTAAGCCAGTTATTGATCAATTGTCTACTATGAAAGATGACATCATGCTGTTAAGATGCGAAACGATCAATATGATAGAAACTATGAATCAAACGCTTGAAAGTACCATTGAATACTCTACTTCATGTCTAATCGATACTTCGCCATCATCGTCATCTCTATTGAAAAAATCAGAGATACTATTCAACTTTACAAAAGATTTAACCACTACAGTATCACTGGAACCGTCAATAGATGATCCTCTAGTAGAACATCCCCTGGAACTCATCTCAGAAGATGATCTCACTGCATTCTTGAATGACTTACTCAACAGAATTAACGATACTTTGAAAGAGAGAAATCAGCCGCCATCACCATCACCACGGTCGCCGCCACCGACAACATTAGATGGTGATATACATATTATTGATTCAAAACTTATGCACAATTATGCACTACTCATCAATAAATTGAGTAGTATTCTTCACCTTCCTACAACATCTTATCGATCAGATCAATTCATCAATGCACAGATTGAAGAAATTCTCAATCGTTTACCAAATCTTTCAACAAATCAAAAGATGAATGAATTATGCGAATATATTGATCAATTGCTTATCGATTTAACTGACATGATGATAATGATGATGAATAACGTTGTCATTGAAGAAAGCGATCGATATTCTATAAAAGTTGATGAATTATCCGAATATCTTATCACTAATTCATTAGAGTCTACAAATCTTCCTGAAAGATTTATACAACTGTATAAACTGCTTCTTCATCATCAGTTATCACGACAGCGTCAAACACCTCTGTCAAAGACACTTGTCGATGTTTACTCCACTGGCGGTGGCGGTGTTGGTCGTGGTCAAGTAGAGACTACCGAAGAAGTATCAAGAATTGAATCGGTTTCAATTTTGAGAAATATAATAAAGAGTTGTATAATCCATGAGAAGGATTATCGATTATTACAATCCCAATTGTCTCAAGATTCTGCGGTATCATCACTCACTACGACTGATACACTCGATAATGATCTATTAACTTTATCATTCAATGAATTAATTGATCTTTTAACACAGAAATGGTTACAACTTGATAATCGATTAAAAGAATTTATTGATTATATTAAATTATATCATTTAAAAGAAAGAGAAGTGATCACTGAACAAATCGATAATAAACCTCAACAACAAAGTGTCCAAAGAACAACAGAACATCAGTTGCCTTTCAGAAGATATCGATCGAATTCTTTTTCATATTCTCCTCGATTATCTTGTTGTAATAATAATCATAAACTGGTATCAATAAGAAATAAGAATAAATCTATGTTAACTTTATCAACTTCGTCAACAACCAGCTCAGCAACAACAACATTATTACAGTATACCTCATTACTGGAATTATTAACAGTTCTCGAATTCTATACTCCAGCCTTTTTAATGCATGTAAAACCAATGAAAGAGATGCACTTGACGTATCATTTAAAGGCGAACACTATGAAGTGTGGATTACAACAGCTGCGAAGACATTTAATGCAGCTTACACCACCAACACACGAACAAGAACAACAACAACAGCAGACGACGACGAGATACACCGAAGAATTAAACACATATTTACAACATATCAATACCTATTTACACGTGAAAGAATTATGCACTAAACAAGCGTTGAATGATTTACGCTCAGAGTTGATATCATTGAATAGACAAAAGCATAAATTATTGAAAAGGAAAGTATCGAATGTGACAACAGCAACAACAACGTCGACAAAGGCATTTAGCCTTCTGCCTATTCCATCAACATCTTCCACAGTGTCAATCATCTCGACTTCATCAAATATCCTACCGACTGTTATCTATGAAGATGAAGAAGTTCTACAGGAGAAGTTGATGTGTACAAAAGACAGACTGAAACAAACTATACTTATATATAAGTGTATACAAGAATTGCTAAATTATCAATCCGATTATTATTATTATCATCATCACTATAATTTAAAATCGATCCATAATGCTCAAGAGGTGACTGATGATCATGATGGTGATCGAGGTAGACGACTGAGTGGCAGGGGGAGTACTCTTTGTCGTAGTCAATTATCAAATTATGCAAATGCAGATGATTACTGGCAGGAGACTGATATTGATGCTGAATATACTCATGATCGGAATCGTGATCTAGATCAATCACAAACTACTCTGTTATGTAATTATGATCCTGATGATGGCAATCTATTGTATATTGGTAGTAGCAGCAGTGGTAACAACGATCCGGAGCATCGGGATCAATATAATGAACTGGAATATGCCCTACGTTTGTTACATATACGTGATACTGAATTGTTGTATCTCATATCCCTTCAACATGATAGTAATACTAATAATAACACCGATACAGGATACAATAATCTAAAATTCAATCTGTCAACCACCACTGCTGCCTATACTACTACTACTAACAAGGATATCAGTAGTAGAGGTACTAGTAGTAGTAGTCAATGGCTTAAAGAGAAATTGGATAAATTTATGCATTGGAATAATGTACAACCGATCAATATGCATAGTATACCAATTCATCGTATTGAATTTAATCAGCCTCAACACCTTCAACAACTACAACTACAACCACAACAACAACAAATAATCGATATGACGACTACTACACCTAATCTATTGGTGAAAAGTCATTTATTGTCAAGTACAGATGATGAAAGATCAACTGCATTGTTTACCAGTCAATCATTTGATCATATGACGTATTATTATGAAGAAGAAACAGATGTAAGTTACTGCCCCACCCCGCTTTCTTTTCATTGTGTTTCCATTATGTATATTCTCTGAATTATAAAAGAAAAGAAGGCGTGTTCAGCGAAGAGACTCTTTTCGGCGAATTCATTCACTGAGCTGTACAATCGCATTTATATACAATTTTGTTTGTTTGTTTGTGTGTGTGTGTACATTAGTTTCTGTAGCGATTTGGTTAAGTTTTGGGGTGGAGTTGCTAGCACCATGCCCCAACCCTCCCTCTTTATCCGGTCTTGGGACCGGCTAGGAAACTAGTGAGCTAGTAATCTAGGCGAGGTTAATGAGTTTAATTGAATTTTAGATTTTTCCCGTCGATTGATTGGACCGAAGTGCTCAGTCTCAGGTTGACATGTCGGCTTCTTGAGCAGATGCTTCGACGATGTCTGGGCATTTAATTAGTATTTAATTGGTGGATGGTGACTAGCAATGGAATCCAGGATGCACATTTCGTCCTATTTGGGGCTCGTCGGCTGGATGTACCTGCATCTCTCAGTGAGTGATGATGTTCCCACCGAGGCTTGAACCCAGTGCCCATAGTTTCCGACGCCAAAGCGCTGCGTTCAAGCCTCGGTGGGAACATCATCACTCACTGAGAAATGCAGGTACATCCAGCCGACGAGCCCCAAATAGGACGAAATGTGCATCCTGGATTCCACTGCTAGTCACCATCCACCAATTAGAGGTTAATGAGTGGTGGTTAAAATTAAGTAAGGGTGTGGGTAGAGAATAATACAGTTGAAAATTAAGTAAGTTAATCGGATGACATAACATAGTTGACTAGAAATTGGACGTGGGTCGAGTTAGCAACATTGTTAATGAGGGTAGAGATTACAAAAGGGTGGGGTAGATAATAATGCAAATGAAGATGTGAAATAATAAAATGCAAAAGATAAAATAATACCATTAGTAAGACTGAAATTAAGAAAGATTACGTCCATTGTAGATTTAATGAATGAACGAATTTCTTTTGTATGCAGAGTTCAGGATTTAGCAGATGAATTGCTATTGCTTCTGCGATGTGGAGAAGTTTGATCCGTACACTCATTAACACTGTTGCCAACCTGGCCTACTCTGAATTCTACTCAATTGTATTACGTCATCCAATTCACTTAGTCAATTTTATTTTATTTTCTATCTAACAAGCGTTTGTTTCCAAGCTAAATAATACTCATATTACGTAATTATCTAAACTTTATAAATCTAATGTACACACACACATAAACAAAATTGTAAATAAATGCGATTGTACAGCTCAGTGAATGAATTCGCCGAAAAGATTCTCTTTGCTGAACGCCTTCTTTTCTTCTTGTGTATGACTGAATTGGGATTTTCAGGTTATTTTCTGAATTCCCCAAGTGAAACATCGCAGGATTATTTTACGAGTTGATCACGGATTGATATCAGTTAGAGAGAACCATTGAAAACCAGCTGTTTCATCTAACTAGTTAAGGAATCATCGGCAGTACGCACCGCACCCTTCACCAAGATTCGAACTCAGGACCTTCCGGTTACAAGGCCAGAGAGCTCATATGCTATTCAGCCACTGACTGGGACAAGATTCAATGGCCAGTCCATGAATTCTAACTTTTACCAATTCGTCCTGGGTTCAAACCCTGGAGGGTGGTTGTGTACTGCCGATGATTCCCAAACCAGACAGGTGAAACAGCTGGCTGTTCAGTACTCCCTGTGGGGCTGGTTTTCAATGGTGTTCTCTGATCTGATATCAATCCGTCGTTTAAAAACTCGTAAAAACAAAACTAACCTTTACAAACCAAACTATAGAAAAGCATAGGATTTCTCTGATATCCCTTAACACTTGTTGTCCACATGATTACCCACATACACGCACACGCACAAGCTTCTATTCAACATGTTGCTTGATACTCGGGAGTTGTCATTCGAGGGCCGTGTTTTGTCGGTCTTCTCAACTTTATGTGCAGTCCATCGTCATTTGTTTCTGCATATTTGTTGAGTAGGCGATAGATTTTCGACTAGTTCACCCCATCCGATGGACTTAATCATCGCTCATCTTTTCTTACTCACAGAGTACAGAAGGCTTGTTTGGTATTTGCCTACCAACTTACGCCATCTGTGGCTTAGTAGACGTGATATCCGACTGGCTGTCGACCAAAGGACGTGTATATACTGCTCAGTAGTATGACTATGAGACATGGCCACTGAAAGTGGAAGACATGAAAAGGCCAGTGAGCTCTCCTTGTTTGTAGGTGCCTGCGTTCTATCTGCATCCTGTGTTAGTCGGTGTCATCAGGTGAGTAATACTGAGGTTAGGCATCGGTGGTCGAGTGGTGTGTAAGGAGGGGAAATCAGTCGACAAGTTGAATGGTCACTGATCTCCACTACTTTGTGGATCAGGCATCTAGTCAAAGGCTCCGTGAAAGGCACTGACCCTTTAAGACAACCATCTACTTCGGTTTGGGCTTCCGGATAGGGCAGTAACACAGCTCTCACACAAACTATAATATTTTACTTAGCACAGCTCATGGTTCACAAAATATACAACATTTTGAGTTCTCATAAATAATGTAAATAGTCTTTTTGATAAATCATGGAGCTGTATCTCATTGTCCTCTGAGTTCCTTAACTCCCAACTAAACTGGGTCATGGGTTCGAACCCTGCTCTATCTATCCAGGTTTACATGTAGCCAGATAGTAGTATCACCATCTCACACACAGACACAGACATAATGAAGTGTAGCTGGTGAATGGAAATACAAGTGATTTCTGAGTTTCATTTAGTTGGAGGATTTCCTCATGAGCTGAAATCAGCTAGAGAACCATTGGAAACTCGGGAGTACTGGATAGCTGTTTTCCCTGTCCTAGCTTGGGACCTTTCATCAGTACTCATCTACCGCCAGGATTCGAAATCAGGACCTTCTGGTTACAAGGTCAGCGACCTCTTAGACCATTCATTCAGCCACTGGGGCCCCGGTGCAATGGCCAGCCAGTGCATGAATTCTAACTTCTGACAATTTGCACCATAGCGTGACCACTTAGCAATGTCTTTTTCGATGAGTAACTGTCCTCACCTTCAACCTGCTGTACCCTACTGGTCACGACTTCCCACTGGATAGGACAAGTCGCTAGTGAGCATCAGTGGGTTTATGAGCTTACCTTGTAACCAGAAAGTCTTAGGTTCATATCCCGTTGGGTGTGTACCGATGAAGAGTTCCAAACTAGGACAAAACAACTAGGTGTCCAGTACTCCCTGATGCTTTTCCAGTGGTTCTCTAACCGATATCAGCTCATGATGAAATCTTCCAACCAGTTGAACAAAATCCTTGAATGTGTAAAGCTACATTTTACTTCTCCGTGTTTTATAATAATACTCGATTGTGTGTTTTTCTTTTTGTTTGTTTGTTTTCCTTTCTTCAAGATATACGAACAACACTTGTACACCTTAGTACAGATTGCATTGAATAAATTAGATCAATTGAATAAAAGTTATGCAGAACCAAAGAGACCATTATTATTATCACCGGATCGTGAAGATGAACTTACTGAATTACTCGATAGAGTTATCAAATTAATCCCATTGGAAAGTCACATTAGTAGTAGTCATATGAATAAGACAACAGATAGTGAATCAATTTATTCTCAGTTGGGTAGACGTTTAACGACAACGGCGGCAGCGGCAGCAGCAACAGCAACGACTACTACCACAATAATGATGACAACAACACCAGCTGCTATTACCGCCATCATGACTGCAACTACTACGACGCTGTCAACAGGTCCATCGTCAACATCATCATATTCTCATTATTATAAGCCTGTCTCTAGTACTACCTGTGAATCATCTGATCTTAGTCTAATGACGAATATGACTTATCCGTATCCAAAACGTGCAGAGAAAGCACCAATTCATGATTTAGTGGATTCTGTTGATCATTTAAGGAATTTGCATGAACTACGCAGTCTAGCTAAATATCTGCTAGATCAATATCATATTGTTACAACTGAAGTAAGTTGTTTGTTTGTTTTGTTTGATTAGTGCACGTTTCATTCTTTTCTTTTCTTTTGTTTCTGATTCATTTCAATGTCATTGCCAAACATCCCGTGTGTGTTTGTGTGTGTGTGTATCTGTGTTCGTATCCATCGAGTCTGAAATGTCGTCACCAATTCCATATTCGTTTTTAATTGGTGGATAGTGACTAGCAGTGGAATCCAGCCAAGATGCGCATTTCGTCCTATTTGGGACTCGTCAGCCAATCGGATGTACTGGCATTCCCCAGTCATTGAGTGATGATGTTCCGACCGCCGAGGCTCGAACCCAGTGACCATAGTTTCAAACGCCAAAGCGTTATCCACTAGACCACTTAGGCCACGAGAGCCACCTCTTGTGCAACGGGTCATATCAATTATTTAATTCAATTTTAGATTTTCCCGTCGATTCAATTCCACGGGATTCCACTGCTAGTCACCACCCACCAATTAAACTCTAATTACATGCCCGGACATCGTCGAAGCATTTGCACAAGAAGCCGACATGGCAACCTGAGACCGAACACTTCGGTCCAATCAATCGACGGGAAAATCTAAAATTCAATCCATATTAGTTTGTTTATTAGATGTATCACGCAGTGAAGAAACAGTATTATTTACTGGATGATAATGTTTCGAACACGATTTATTATTGTTCATAATCATTTCATCAATTATAATCACACGACTTCGAAACTTGAATTTTACAGTTTTCTTTGTCCTCTCCTATTTGTCGTAGGGGTAGTAGAATTTTCCAGGTATATGGGACAGGTGTTGAATCATTCCTATTACACGTGTTTGCAGTGGATTCGATAAACAAAGCTTCCTTTATCAATCTCTCCCTCCATCCTGTGACATTGGATCTTAAAATTGTCATCCTGTCCCATCATATTGTATGGTTATGTGTAATTTCATTTAGTGTGGTGCTATAGCTGAACTATTCTCCATATTTCTTACCTTATTTGGGCCAACCAATCTAGATTTTGCTAGGTTTTTACGCTCAGCTATTCTGACTACCCCTGTTCTACTACATTGACCTATTTATTTGACCTGACAATCATTGCAGTAGGGTATTAGGTAAACTAAATTGTTCTGTTTTAAAGGCTCCACTGGCAGGATCCTTTAACCGACAAAGCTTGTTTCTAATTGAGTTTGTGGGTGGTTTGAATGCCAGCCACTTTTATTCCTGCCTGCCTTGTTAAGAATTCTGCCTAAGGTTTCTGAGGTTCTTTCTTTGTATGGAATTACTACAGATGATTTAGATTCCTTATTGTTGGTGTTGTCATTATCCTGCTTATATTTAACATGCATGTTGTCACTAATATTACTATAGTTATTGCGGGGATGGTTGAAGGCAATTGACAGGATTCTTTAGATGTAGCTTATATTCCTTATCGGCACTTACTACTGAAACCGATGTATTATGGTCTAAACTCAGGGGACTGGAAACTAGATAGTAACTGATTTTTGTTAACAAACATATCGCCGCTTATAGTAGGAATTTGTGACCAGTGGGGGAGGGTACAGCAGGTCAAGTGTGAGAACAAATACTCGTCAGTGATGACATTCTCTGGTGGTCTCGCTATATGGTGAATTTGCAGAAGTCGGGATTCATGGACTGGAAGCAATTGTATCGGGTCCCAGTAGCCTAATGGTCTAAAAGCTCACCTTGTAACCAGAAGCTTCTGGGTCCGAACCTCACTGGGTGCGTACTACTGAAGAGTCCCAAACTAGGACGAAGCAGTTAATTGTTCAGTACTCCCTGTTGGTTTTCCAATGGTTCTCTAACTGATGTCAGCTCATGATGAAATCCTGAAACCAGTCTTATCGTTGCTAAGCAATACTTGAAAATGTTGTGTATTGTGTTAAATATGCTATATATTAGAGTAGAGCCGGATAGAGATGAGGATCTAATTGAAAAATGAATATTTCTTTGCTTAGTTATATTGCTTTCTAAATTTATTGATTTGTATATTTTGGCGTTTATCTAATACTTTTTTTTCCTTCTCGCCCTCTTGTTGTTTCTTTTTTTTTAAACTTAGTTGGAATTACAATCTGATACAAATTGGTGTTTAAGACAACGTTTAAGCAATGCCAATAGTCAATTGGATCGTCTAACTGACCTGTTGAATAAAAGTAGTAGAACATTTCAATCGATTGATGAACGATTAACTGCGGAAATACATAAACATTCAACATTAACAGGTAATTATAACACGTGTATACTATGGCATATTAAACTTGAACAAAGCAAGAACAAGAACAATTGTACTCGAAGATAATATGAGCTCATCTTTTATTATTATTTCGAGGATTCTTCTCAACTGGTTACAACCTGAACGATAAAAATATATATGAATTACATTACATTAAAGATTTGATGAGCATACTTTTCCACGATCACAAGGAGTAATTGGTTGGTAGGAAGTGTAAAAGTAACATTAGTCCGGAATGATTTAACTAATTAAGAGTTACAGACACACTGACTATTTATAGAATAAGAACAAATTAGTTCAGCGAAGAGTCTCTTTTCGGAGAATTCATTCACTTAGCTGTACTGTCGCAAATATATATACAATTAATTTTGTGTGTGTGTGTGTGTGTATATTAGGTTTGTCAAAATCAAAATCAAAATAACAGTTAGTGTGGATTGTTGATTACATCATCAAAATAATTAAGAAATTAAAATGTGTGATTAATAATCAAAGTTGTAACCAAGTGGGGTGAAGATTGGCAAGATGTGAGTAGGGTTACGTAATATAGACATGTTTAGAAAGATTAGATGCTAGTGAAGGAGTATGGAGACAATTATGAAAATAAACTAGATAATAGGTGAAAAGATTGAATGGGTTAGTTACTAAAAAATTATTATACGAAAATTGCAAAAGAAATTTGATAACAAAATGTTGATGATAGATAAACTTGAAATTAAACCCATGGTAGTAGGAGGGGGTGGAGAAGTTTCTTCGGTGTGCATAAATCAGGCTTTTCTATCCAAATCGCTAAGGCTTCGGCAATACAAAGTATACGGAAGCTTGTCGATTTTGAAAGGCTTCTTTTGACTTTATAGATGACTTTGAACGACTTCTCCTTGCAAATTGAATGACCAGTGTTGAGTATATGCTCAATAATGGCGCTCCTTATTGTTCCGTTGTTACCTTTCCGTAGCCAGGCGGGATAGTGTTTTTGAACTCTTTTAGATAAAACTTACATCGAACGACCTATATACCTCGCTCCGCAAGAGCAGGTGAATTGGTAGATACACATGGAAGTGGTCAAATGCGATAGTTTATCTTTAGAGTAGTTGAAGAACAATGGCCGGGAGGAAAATGTCAGTCGTAGTGTGGCAGCGAAGAATGTCCTTCTGAGAGCAGTAGATATCCTCTTCTTCAAGGTATCAGCCAGAAGAATATAGAATAATTAGACAATTAGTCTGGGAAACAAAAACAGAGTTGCGTATATATATATGTGTGTGTATAGAAACAAGATTTAGCTAGAAAGAGTATAACAAAAATAGTAGATTACGTAACTAAAGAAAATGTTTTATCTAGTAGCCAATAGAAAAAAAGGAAGAGAAAAGAACAAGGTAGGGTGAGTGATGTTTAGATGAGAGAGTAGAGTTTTCGAAACAAGAAAAACGGTGACTCATAAAAGTTGTATATTTTTTTGTTATCACCAGGGCAGTGCAAGATTCACCACTGTCTCTTTCTGCGTACACATAGATTTGGTTTAAGTCGTTTGATAGCAATTGCTTCAGCAAAGCGTAGCAAGTTAGGTTTATTTTGCTTGTTGATTATTTTGAACGACTTCAGGTTGTCTACAATATGACCAGTGTGTCCAATAGATGACGCGCAATCGCACTGTTTAATGCTTGTGGACCTTTCAGTCTCAGGTTCTTTTTGGTATGTGTTCAGAAATGCGGACAATATTATTTGGTGTTACTTTCATATCTTAATGGTTTGCAGAGATTATTTGAAATTGCCCCTCCCCCACCCTGTTTTGATTGTTGATTTCATCATTGGATCAGAACAGCTCAGGCATTGTTGGATATACTCATGGTTGGCGAGCGTTCTACCGCCGCTGAACCACCGACTGACATTCATACTATAGTGCTAAACTTATTTTTCGTTTTATTTGTTTAATGCTTTTTCGTTTGGTTACAGGATTTCATCATGAGCTGAAATCGGATAGAGAACCATTGGGAAATCAGAGGGGAGTACTGGACAGCCAACTGATCCGTCTGACTACTCTGGGACTCTTCAGTAGTACGCCGTACCCACCGCCAGGGTTCGAATCCAGGACCTTCTGGTTACAAGGCCAGCGAGCTCGTAGGCCATTCATTCAGCCACTGGGACCCGATCCAATGGCCAGCCCATGAATTCCACCTTCTGCCAATTCATGATATGGTGAGACCACTTGCCAATGTCATCGATGGCGAGTATTTGTCCTCACACCTGACCACCTGTCGTGACCAGTAGAGTATAGCAGGTCGGGTGTAGGAACAAATACTCGCTACCGATTACATTCGATAGGGATCGCGCTGTGTCATGAATTAACAGAAGTTGGAATTCATGGGCTGAATGAATGGTCTACGAGCTCGCCAGCCTTGTAACCAGAAGGTCATGGATTCGAACCCTGGCGGTAGGTAGGGCGTACTGCTGAACAGTCCCAGAGTAGTCGGACGAAACAGCTGGCTGTCCAGTACTCCCTGCTGGGTTTTCCAGTGGTTCTCTAACCACTGTCAGCTCATCATAATGAAATCCTGTAACCAATCAATCAAATCCTTTCCAACCAATACTTGAAAAACTTATTTATTTGTTTTTTCTGTTTTCTCTCTATTTTTATGTGTGTGATTTGATTTAGAACAATGTGATATAGCCCGTCAAGATACGCGTCGAGTTGTACATACTTTAAGTGAAATAAATCAACGGCATAAACCGACAAGTAGTCGACGGTTAAATTTCGTTCCAGATTCTTCAGAATACTTGGTGAGTTAGTTAAACACGTGAGAGAAAATTATTATTATGATTATTATTATTGATTTTCCTTTCAGCTTTGTTGTTCTTTTTTCCTCTACAAATTTATTGATTATTTTGGAGAAGGAAACAAAAATCAAAATAACGCATCGGTGTGTGAATAGTGGTTTTGCCTTGTCCTTGTCTCCCCTCACCTGCCCTCCCGTCCCCACCTACTACCTACCTATCTACCTCTTCCCATGCCTCCTTCTCCGCCTCCTCGTCTGTCTTCTTTCCTTCCTTTTCTTCCTCCTTTGCTTCCTTCTGTCTTTTGTATTTAGATCGAATTAATCACGTACACATGTGTACGTTATCTCCTACTGATATCGTGATTGTAGCAGAATCATTGAATTGACAAAGGTGTCTCTGTGTGTATTCGTATTCTAAATTATTGGCAATTGGCAATTTGTAAAAATTCTGAAGTCCTGTTGAGAAGTCGTGACCAGTGAGGTCCATCCAGATGTCACGTGTGAGGATGGATATCCCACCGATGACATTGGTTGGTGCCAGTCGCGTTAAATGCATCACGAATTGGTAGAAGTTAGAATTCATGCAATGGCCATTGAATCGGGTGGGGTCCCAGTGGCTGAATGGTATACGAGCTAGCTTGACTTGTAACCGGGAGATCTTGGGTTCGAACCTTGGTGGGTGGGTACGTACTGTCGATGATTCCCAAACTAGTGGGATGAAACAGCTGACTGTCCAGGTTTTCAATGGTGTTCTCTAACCGATATCAATCTGCGGTCAAACTCGTAAAAACAAATCTAATCCTTACAAACCAACTATTGAAAATGGTTATCTCCTACTTATATAGTATTCTGAATTATTGGCAATTGGCAATGTGTGAATTCATTTCATATGATATCTATTAGAGAAGTATTGGAAAATCAACAGGGAGGAAGTATTCGACAGCCAGTCAGCCAGCCAGCCAGATGTTTCTTCCTAGTGTAACAACAGAAGACAAGGGCCAGGCAACAGATCGTTTATTAAGGAAAATCAACACACATTTTTATAGATTTTAATCTACATTATTGTAGATTATTGTTAGTAGAAAATACAGTCTTTTGATTGGTGGTTGTTTCTCACAGAAACTTAACCTTGCATCTCTTTGTGGCTGTGTCAGATCATCCATATGCTAACTGTATCCGCCTACGCAAAGCCTTTGTTCTCATTTTTATCACCATCAATATTGAGGACATAAACATTGACGTCAATTACCGTCTACCAACTTTGGCTAGCAGCCAGCTCTCACCACACATTTACTAACTGTCGAGTCCCACTAAATAGGATAAAATGTAGCCGATGACCTGGTGCACAGACTAAGCCGAACTCGGGAGGAACAAACGAGGGAAAATCAAGCAGGCTTTAGGCAAGGTAGAGGTTGCATAGATCATATCTTCACTCTCCGACAGAGCCTAGTACATAGACACACTTTTAGGCGTCCAACAATTGCCATATTTCTTGACTTGAAGGCGGCCTTCGACTCCGTGGATAAAGAGGCACTATGGCAATGTTTGACTGTGAAGGGAGTGCCAAGAAAGTACATTGCACTAATCAAGGCACTCTACTCATACTCACGTAGCCGTGTAAGGGCTTATGGGGAATTGTCATCTGAATTGATAACAACCAGTGGTGTGCGTCAAGGATGTCCACTTTCCCCATTTCTGTTTAACTTCATCATAGATATGCTAATGGAAGTATCCTTAACCGAACTTAACGACTTAGGAATCGACTTGTTACCAGGGAATAGTCTTATGGACTTAGAATATGCAGATGACATAGTCCTGTTAGGGGAGGATGCTGACAAAATGCAGAGTCTTCTGAACACCTTGAGCAGCAATCTTCGTATGTTTGACATGCGATTCGCCCCTGTGAAATGTAAGATGCTGCTACAGGACTGGACTACGTCTACCCCTAGCTTAGTGATAAGGAGTGAAGTGATAGAACATGTTGACCACTTCACCTATTTGGGAAGTTGTATCAGCACCAACGGATTGATTGGTGACGAAATCTCAGCACGGATCCAAAAAGTTCGAGCAGCTTTCGCTAACTTACACCATCTCTGGAGTAGGCGTGACATCCGGCTATCAACCAAGGGACGTGTGTACTGCTCAGCAGTTCACTCTGTCCTTCTCTATAGCTCTGAAGTATGGCCAATACGAGTTGAAGACATGAAAAGGTTGTCTGTTTTTGATCATAGATGTCTACGATCTCTTTCTCACGTTAGGAGGTAGTATAATAAGGTAAGTGATGTTGACGTTAGGCGTAGAGTGTTGGGCAAAGAGGGAAAATCAATCGAAGAGGCTATAAAGTTACATAGATTGAGATGGTTAGGTCACGTGCTGCGCATGCCTAACCATCGCCTCCCCCAATGGACGGGCATTACTAGCTGATATAGGTGCATGTTGGAAAAGAGTAAGTGGTGGCCAAACAAAAACATGGCATCAATCAATCCATGAAATCCCTGACAGTTAAACTGAGTCAGGTAGGGAGGGAGATTCAGACTTCCGGGTTGGGGCCCTCGGGACTCTAAGAATCAATGAAGGCTGGAGACACTAGGTGACATGGCTCAAAATCGTTGTCAATGGCGCGGATGTATTCAGTCTCTGTAATCTTTCATATTCCTTTCTACCATTACTCATTCTGTTTCAGTCTTATACTTGTCAAAACTCTATTGATTCTCTTCACTCTCATTTTCTTGTCTACCTTTGTGTGGTATTTGGAACGTGGCAACTGGAACTGCTACACTTCGGTGCCAAGTTCTATGTTGAATCCAGACAGCCAGCCATGACTTGGTGGTGGTAGGATTCCCCTGCTAGTCTCCATTCATCAAATTATCCAGAAGAAAAGGAGATTTTTTGTTCAACAGAAGGAATGTGAAAATTGCACTTTTATTCATTCATTCATAAAATTGAATAAATATTTTTTTGATGTAAATAACTGAAATAGATATCACATGAATGATGTGATGTATATAATAATACACACACCTAGATTGAACAATAATAATAATAATGATAATTAATTTATGAATTAGTAGTCATAAGTTTCATCAGCTGCCTGACCGCAAAGAGTGTAAAGTAATACACATTTCGAAATTTCTAAAGTGTTTTTAACAGCGTTACCGCACAAAAACAAAAACTGTAAACAGAAATGAATCTTTCGGTGGTTTTTTGTTTTGTTTTTCGTTGCTTGTAGTTTATAGGCAGGTGGATGTCTTCACGAGCGGATATTAGTCTGTTTGTCTGCCTGTCTGTTTTCGACACAGAACTTTGCACATATGTGCGCCAGTTCAAGTCGCCACACTCCCTCCTTGTAGCACACAAAGCAAGAGAAGAAAGTATGAGAAATGCATATTAGAGATAGTAAACAGAGGTGTGAGACAAAGGTATAGTAATAACGAAGAACAAAACAGTTTCATTGGAAATCACAAGTCACAAGGAGTGGATGTATCTGCGCCAGCCATTGAGAACGATTTTGAGCCATGTCACCAATTGTTTCCAACCATTGGTTTTTACCGTCCCGAGGACCCCAACCAGTCAGGAAGTCTACACCTTCCTACGTGGCTTAGACTAACTGTTGTAGATTTCATTGACTGGTGCCATGTTTTCGTTTGACCGCCGCTAGCTCTTTTCCAGCCTGACCCTATATCACCTAACATTGCCCGTCGAGGAAGGCGATGACTGGCCATACGTAACACATGTCCTAACCATCTCAGTCGATGTAATTTCACAGCCTCGTCGACTGATTTCCTCTCCTTACCTAGCACTCGACCGATGTCTAACCTCAATATTGTTCACCTTATTATACCACTTCACACGGGAAATAGAACGCAGATACCTATGATCAAAGACAGCTAGTCTTTTCATGTCTTCCAATCTCAAATGCTAGGTCTCACAGCCATAAAGGAGGACGGAGCGGACTGCTGAGCAGTACACATGCCCTTTGATCGATATTCGGATATCACGTCTACGCCAGAGACGGAGTAAACTGGCATATGCGAAACTAGCCTTCTGTATTCGTGCTGAGATTTCGTCAGAGATCAACCCGTTGGGGCTGATGGTACTTCCCAAATAAGTGAAGCGGTCAACGTGCTCTACCACTTCACTTCCTATTTCTAATCTAGGAGTCAGTGTAGTCCAATCCTGTAACATCATCTTGCATTTGGCGGGAGCGAATCGCATGCCAAACATTCGTAGATTGCAGCTCAAGGTGTTCAGAAGACTCTGCATTTTTTAAGTGTCCTCGCCTAGAAGGACTATATCGTCTGCATATTCTAAGTCAACGACATTATTCCCTGGTAGCAAGTCAATCCCTGAGTCGCTGAAGTGAGTTAGGGTTAAGTCCATTAGTACATCTATGATGAAGTAGTACCAGCTAGGCAATAACTGCTAGCATATATATTCATTCTATACCAAAGGTGGGAGGGAGGGGGCGGTAGAGTTGGTAGAATACTCACAATCGCCAACCACCGACCCACTTCTCAACTCTCAGTTGATGCCGGTAGGTAGGTAGTAAAACCGATAAAAAAGGTAAAGTTGGGCAGGTAGGTGCGTGAGGTTAGCGATATCACATGTGTTACCCAAAACTTCACAACGCAAGCTTTTGGAGTCCTGCATTCCAGTGGGAAAGCAAAAGAATGAAGTAAATAATAATGGGGGAGAATGGAGCTGTTGGTGTGGTCTCTGGTTGAATATTAGTGTACTTCATGATATATATAGGCAACAAAAGAAGGCAATTATTCTTCAATAAATTTGCTGTTCCATTGTTTATTATTATTGTTATTCCCTTAGGTTCCGACTGGAACATCATAGGGCTTCAACAACACTTCTCCACTTTGTTTTATTTGAGGCTGTCCTCACCAGCTGCCTAGACACACGATTGCCCTTAATCTCTCATCCCCTGCTCCTTGCCACAAAATCGCTTCCACGTTATCCTCGCATAGATGACTCACTCGTCGCTTCCCATTAGGGTTTCACTCCAGCGATATCCTCCTCAGCGAATACCCTATCCATCTCCATTTTCTCCTCTAATATATTTGTTGAGCAATTGGTTCTTGGTTGGTTTACTGCCATACAGAGTTTCTTGTTGCTAATTCTTTCTTGCTGGCCATTTGATTTTTGAGTATGGAGCCAGCCAGTGAAGGAGGCAGCTGTTGATAAAAGTCTGCGATCTGTTGAGAATCCTTTTCGTGACGCACGCGCATGCACTACAAGTTTCTAACCCGTATAGAAAAACTGACTGACTGACTTCACATTTGTGTTGGAAATCCAAATCTTGTCATTTGTGCTGGCTGCCTGAGTGAATCAGAATATTTTTGCGAACTGATTTCCGGTTGAAGAAGGTGTATCTTGCCTTTCCAATTCTGGCTGGCTGACTTTGACATCTTCATCCTTTAACGTTACTTATCGTTGAAACCTTACTTCCTAGCCGGATAAGTGAAGCAAGTAACCTCTTTCAAATCTCTCCCGTTGATGGTGATTGGCGATGGATGTTGCTGCTGTTGTTGTTGTTGGTTGGTTATTTTCATAACCTCCATCTTGTCTATGTTTACCTGGAGTCCTGTCTTTGCTGCCAGCCTCTTCGACCAGTTTGTCGGTTTTCGCTTGTAAGTCATCGATTTTGTGTGACATCAAACATCAATCATCCGCGAAATCCAGGTCTTGTAGGTTCTTCACGTCGGTCCAGGATATCCCTGTCTTCTCGTTTCCCATTGTCTGACGCATAATCCAGTCCACCACAATTAAGAATATCATTGGTGATAATAAGCACCCTTGTCTGACTCCTGTGTTTACTCCGAACGCCTCGCTGAGTTTTCCGTTGTGGATCACTTGACATATGCCGTTGTCGTACAGCTGTTGAATAAGGTTGATGAATATTTGGGGTACGCCGTAGTACTCGAGTAGTTTCCAAATAACTTCGCGGTCAACGCTGTCGAAGGCCTTCTCAAAGTCTATGAAGTTGAGGTAGAGATTTGATTGCCATTCCATGCTTTGTTCGATGATAATGTGTAGAGTTGCAATTTGGTCAGAACATGATTTGCCTTTCCTGAATCCAGCTTGTTCTGGTCGGAGTTCTGTATCCAGTGCGTCCTTGATTCTCTCCAGGATGATGCGACTCAGGATTTTACTTGGTGTCGACATGAGCATGATTCCTCGCCAGTCCGTGCAGAGTCCTAAGTCGCCTTTCTTTGGTAGTTTCACGAGGTAACCTTTCCTCCAGTCAGTAGGCACCTTTCCCTCCTTCCAGACCGTTTGCAATAATGGAGTCAGCAAATCTGCTGTCGTCTGTTGTATTATTAGTAATAATTATAAGTAGAGTGTGTTTAGTTCTAGATTTTCCAAATAATGATTCCGTGTTACACTCTGTCTAATATTTTAAAAAATATGCTTTTTATGCTGTGTTATAATGTTTTGTTCTTTGTTTGTTTTTGTTTCTTTGTTGTTAATTTTGCACATCTACTTGATAATATTATTTAGATTAAAAGTAGTGGTGCATCATCGTCTATTCAAACAATGGAGAGTAAATCTGCCTACAAGTTGAAATCAAAATCACAAATATCACAGACAACAACGACATCAACATCAATCCAGTCAAGAATTAGTGATCCTGACTTCTTTGTATTGAATAGAGTATATGTTCCATTTAGAATGATGGTAAGAAAGTTTAATGTGTTGCCATGTTTTGTGTGTGTGTGTGTTTGTTTATATGCGTGTTTCTTTGTGTTGTTATTATTATATGCATTATTATCATTATTGTTTCCTTTAGTTCCTAGAGGAACATAGGGCTTTAGCCGAACATCTCCAATGCATTCGGTTTCCTGTCAACGTTTTCTCCTGGCTCCACGTCTGCTCACATGCTTTCATCTCCTCTTCACATCACCTCCTCCTCCATATCGCCGGTTCCCATTCGGGTTCCACTTGATCTATGGCCTGGCGTGTGATGTCACTTACTTGATGGTTTGCTTTCTCAGAGTATGGCCAGCCAATCCACCTCCACTTCTTCTTGCATATTTGTTACAGAATTGGTTCCTCGTTGGTTGGTTGGTTGGTTCGTTCGTTCATTGCCAGAGATCCGTGATGCTGATCTTTTGTGGCCGGCCATTTGATCTTGAGTGAAGTAATGAGCGAAGACAACGGTTGATGAAAGTCTGTGGTTTCTTCGAAGTGCCCTTCGTGACGCGGAGCCAAGTCTCTGATCCGTATAGTAAGTAGTACTGACTGACTTCACATTCAAGTTGAAAATCCGGATCTTATTTTCATTTCCATACTGAGTTCTGTTGATCTCCCCCACACAGACTTGAGAGAAATGAAAGCTTGACTTGCTTTCCCAGTCCTCTCTGCTTCCATTCAACCACTGGGACCCGATTCAACTGCTCATGAATTCTAACTCCTACCAATTCGTGATTTGGCCCGACCCCAACCAATGTCATCAGTGAGACATCCATCCTCACACGTGACATCTAATTGGACCTTACTGGTCGCGACTTCTCACTAGAACTCCAGGAAACTCCATCCTGTAGCAAATCACTAGTGAGCATCAGATTAATTTTCTATAGTTTGGTTTGTAAGGGTTATTTATTGAATCGGGTCCCAGTGGCTGAATGGTATTCGAGCTTGCTTGCTTGTAACCAGAAGGTCCTGGGTTCGAATCCCAGTGGGTGCGTACTGCCGACGATTCCCAAACTAGGATGAAACAGCAGCTGTCCAGTACTCCCTGGTTTTCAATGGTTCTCTAACTGATATCAATCCGTGATCAACTCGTAAAACATAACTAACCCTTACAAACCAACCAACTATAAAAAATATCTCATTTACCTCCCAATATCTTTTCTTTCTCTTTCTTTCTTTTTTTTTTCATTTTCTCCTCTGTAGCAATCAATATCATCACAAACTGAGAAACGCTGTAGACTCTCCTGTCTACCATATAGCGCCAGTAGTCGTCTTACCTGTGGTCCAAAGTTAAAACGTCCTACAAGTCGTAGTAGTAGTTCCAACAAACTAACTAACGACCGATCAGATTCACGTAAACGTCATCAATCAGCATCAGCATCAACACCAACTGTTGTTATACCTATTTCTTCATCAACTACTTATAGACGACCGTCGAATACTCGTTCTCAAGAAAGAGGTGGTGAGGCAAGAGGAGGAGGAGGCGTAGTAGATGTACAATCTGAAGGTGGGAATACTCAACAAACAAATAATAATAATTATACAAATTGGAGTGAATTTGAATCAGGTCAACGTAAACTACAATCAGTATCATTATCGATTGAAAAGGATCTATTACGCTATTATCACCATCAAGAGGAATCCGCATCGCATTTAGGTGCACCATGTTCTTCTTCAACAATGATTACTGAAGAACACGAAGAAGAGGACGAAGATGAAGAAGCAGAAAAAAGTAAAGAACATCCGTGTGAAACTCATCCGCTATTAGAAGAATATTACAGAAATCAAGAACAACACCACCAACAACAACAATCAACTATAACATCGTTGTCTTTATCATCTCCGGCGACGGCGTTGATGAAAAGTGAAAATTCCACTTCATCACAATCCACTTCATCATCATTATCATTTACTAGTTTAGAATCACATTCACGTCGTTCTGCTGTTCCTGGTGGGAATAATGAAAGCCAAGCCAGTGGTAGTCGTGGTGATCGTCAATTACCACTTCGACAGAAGAAAACGAAATTTCCATCACGTTTTATGAATTTATTCAATAAATCAAATTATAAAAAGTCATAAAAATAAAACATAAAGAATATCATGTACAATTGTCTCACTCTACCTCCCTCCCCCTCTCTTTCTCTCTCGATGTATGTATGCGTGGGTGTGAGCATGGGGGACATGTACCGTGTACGTACACCCTTCGTTCATCATATACACAATTGTATGGCCATTTTTTCCGGTGTTGCTCCGATGTTGCTCTTTGTTTATTTGTTTCTTTGTTTGTTTTCTCATGTTTTGCTCTTTCATTTCTCATCATCATCAATTAAAATTGATTGAATGAGTATTGGTTGCCCCCTCCCTCTCTCCCTGCCTCCTCCTCCTTCTTCCCTACTCAGCTATCTTTATTCATGTGTTATCCCACCATCCGCTCTGTCTCATGTTGTTGATGTCTCATCTGGACGTCTTGTATGTACACAATAGATATATATATTGATTTTTCTTCCTATTCTTTTCAAGAGATTGTGTGTATGTGTAAGAGTGCACCACAAACACGCACACACACATGCACACATACACGAAGGCATCGATGCATGGATGTATTATACACCTAGAGACTCGCTTGTGTTATAGTTACACTTATTTCAAAGTTATTATTTGTGTTTGTTAAATTGTGTAAAAATCAATAATAATTATTCCCTTTTCTATTTTTCATTATTCCATTTGTCATTTGATATCTTTCATACATTCTTCTGTGTTTGATTTTGTCACATATACCAAAGCCCAGAACTGTGTGTAGAAATTAGGCAAGAAAGAATGCATCATCATACTCACAGCCACACAGACACGCAAGCACACTCATGCACATTTTACAGATTTTCTTTTTGAAATAATTATTATTTTAAAACAGAATTTACACACATCAATCAATTACAACGAAATAAAATAAATATACTTAAACTCACACCCATTGACGTATGTGTCGACGTCATTTTGTCGTCGTTATCGTTAGTTATTCTTGAACTCTCCTCGTTCTTTTTATTCTCTTTATGTTGTGCGTTTCTGTCAGTTAGTTATGAGTGTCTTTCCTACCCTGTTTCTTTCATAGCAGAGATTATCCCAATATTATTTGTATATGTGGTGACTGTGTATTTGCTGTCTCCCACCTTTGAGAGTTGGATCAACAACAACTCAATAAACCAGCCCTAAATGTACTCTACTCTACTCTCATCTAATCTAATCTCCTTACTGCATTTTGGCAATTTCCCCCCCCCCCCATCTTGTTATTGTGTGTATTTTGTCTTTCTCTATGTCTCTGAATGTACATTTGTGTGTGTGTGTGTGTGTGGAAACTGTGTTCATCATAAAATGAGCGCCTTGTGTTTTTGCGCCATTTACACATGCCTATCGCCCCCCGCCCCGGGTTGTGTTAGCCACACCATTGAGACGATATTCTTTTCCTTCAATTCACTCTTCGGTGTGTGTGTATGTGTGCGTGCGTGTGCGCTCGCGCGCGTAACTGAAATGTGCCATATATTTTTCTAAAATAAAAATATAATCCCGATTTTTCGATCTTTTCTCCGTTTACCTCATTTCGGTTTTGTTTGTTTTATGTTTTCTCTCTTTTTTTCACAAAATGGATGTTTGAAACCTTATTTGCACACATGTATATTAGGCAACATACACACGTACGCACGCACGCGCGCATGCAAGCACACACGCACACACACATGAAGACAGAAACCAATTCCTCCTTCTATTTTTGAACTTTACTCACTTCCCCTTTTGACTTCACTTTTTTTCATTTTGAGCATTTTCTTTTTGAGTCGTCTATGTTGTTGTTGTTGTATACTCATCTTCTCTGTGTGTGTGTGTGTGTAGTTATGTTTGTGTGTCTGTGCGTGTATATATGCATATATATATATATCAACCAGAACTGGTATATGTATCCTCCTGTACACACACACAAAAACATGAACAGTTCTCTAGGCTGTGATGATCAAACGTGTCATCATCATCACCATTATCATCATCATTGTCACCAAGATGTTCATTGTCAGTCATCGTTATTATTTCTTCCAACACTTATAAATTGTTGTCGTCATTAATTTTGAAATTACCAGCTATCTTCTTCCTTTTATTATTATTATCACATTGTGTCAATGTCATCAATGTGTTTGTCTGTTTGTCTCTGTGTGTGTATGTGTAATCAATTCCTTTTTTCGCATTCCTGTCATATAATAATAAATAAATATTCTTTTTCTGGATACATGTTGTGTATTTTTGTATTTTATTGATCGATCGATTTATTGATTGACTGATTGATTGCCAAAGTTGGCTACGGGAAGTTTTAGCACCTAGGTTTCGTCAGTCAGCAAGACAGACGTATCTGCCCGCCACCTTGAAGGAATTGATGTTCACACTGTTGTGAGATTCGAATCCACGTCATCTAGTGCTGTTGCTTAATATAACTGTTATGATATTAAGCGGGGTATCTGATAGGGTTCAGGTTAAGTTTGGGAAAGATTTAGTTAAGGTGTTTAGCCCCCCCCCCACAAAAAAAAGAAAAATGGTTAGGGTTGGTTGTAGTGGAGGTAGATTAAGGCAAGAGTAGGGATAGATCGGAGTTGGGGTTAGGGGTAAAAGATCAAAGTCATCAGTGCGTTCCATCCTCTTTGATGCCTGTAGTATAACTTTGTTAGTTTACCGTATTATTGTTGGTATTCACCAGTATACATTTCATCACTTCATAGACTAAGTTACTACTAATAATAACAATATGTAGCCCAGCATTCAAATAGTCTTTGATTGGACACTAGTAACTAGTGTGATGCGTCTAGTCCTTTCTTTTTGTGCAGACTGAATTCTATCAGTCAGGTTCGCAATGTGGCCACCATTCTAAGCAGCTTGCCATCCATCACGGTGTACATTGATTTGATGATATTAGATGGTTGGAGGCAATCGACATCACAGGAAGCCTTGGACCTAGGTTTCGTGCGAGTTGGCACGCACCAACCAGTCAGCAAAGCGTATCTGCAACCAGCTTGAAGGAACTCATGTCCCTCCCTCTGAGATTCGAACCTGCGTCACCTAGTACAGTGATGCAGTCAAAGACGTTACCACTGAGCTATTCGGACTCGCAATTAACCTCCTATAGGACTGTAATTAAACTATCATAGCTAAAATCACGCTGACCTTGAACAACCAATCCGAATTCAACGGCATTAAAGACATATAATCGTTAAGAAATACATTTTAAAAAACGCTTTGCAAACATGATATAACTCTAGATAATTGTCGCTTATACGTTATAAGAATATCTCCCAGTCAGTATACGGATGACCTATGAAGAAATCAAAGAATGCGCGATAGACGTATGTATCCATGCAGGTAACCATAGATCAGGGTACGCTGAGATTCATCGATATCCCTGACTCTGACCGTAATCCTAACCATCTCAATTTCGAAAACCATAACCCCAAATAACAGTATAGATTTACAGAAAAAGTAGAATACTGTATCTATCTTCACCAAATCCAAACAGACATGCAGTGATTTGATTTTGAATGACATTTCATAGGATTCCCTAAATCTGACTTGTTTTGGAAGGTCAGTTTTTGACAGACCTTGACTGTGGCAATGTGATACTTTAACTTCGCCGCTTTACCTTAACTCTATTTTAGATATGTCAAAAGTCTAGTTGATTTTCTCATTGTGCATAGCACAGAATTTGAAATAATTTTGAGAAAATTCCTGCCTATAGATAGATGGCTGTAATGTTATTTTATGTTCAATAAACTGGATATATTGGTATAACTGTGAAGTTTCATCCCATCCGTGCACTCTGTAACAACATCTTCAATGCTAAATTCATAATGAAAGCTTTGTAAAAATAACAATGCCAAAAAACATTGGCAATAATCACTTATCATCCAATCACAAATGACTTTGAAGGTCATATACGCTTGTTCACGTGATTGACTGATGGACAAAAAATCTATCCACAGAATACTAAAATCTGATTGGTTATTTTTTATCTGGTGTGTATACAAGACGATATACGTATTATTGCATTATTGACATGTAATTAGGATATCTAATATCCACTAAGGTATGCACTTGTGTTAACGGTTCGTGAAATGGAGGGAGACGTACTACAAGTGCACACTAATTAATGACGAGTGAACTATACTGTGGACAGTTACACATATTCATTACTCTAACATAAGTGTGTCGGGAGATTTACTGCACTTAACATTATAAAAAAAAAACAAGATTCGGATTTTCGACGCAAATGTCAAGTCACACTCAGTGCTTTTATATGATCCAAGGACTTGGAGAGTGTGTCATATTTCCTAAAATGACTATTTCAGATTTTCATCAACATCTGCCACCTTCTGTGGCTCCATACTGGATGGAGATCAGATGACGAATTAGACAGGATAAGCAATACAGGGAAATCTGTGAACGAACCAACTGAGAAACTATCATAGCCAAAGTCAGGGCCTTTCAAGACTGACCTTGAAGAGCCATTCAGATTAATCTCACACTTCAGAAGGTCTTGTCGAATAGGAATCATACCTGTGTTTATCGATTTGGCTGGTAAGTTCCACGAAGATATCGAGTATCTAATGGTTATGTCAATAATGGATTACGAACGAAATATTCCCATACTGAGTCATACGAAAAAGGCACAAACAGCGAAGAAGAAAATTCCCTTTTCGACGATTCATTTTCATAAACTGCTGTACAATAATCGTAATTATAATTAACAAAGAAATCTTTAGACCAATCAGATACTGGTAAACTTTGTCCTCGAAAATTGTATTAGTTTAATGTAAGGTGTAAGAAGGGATGACTAATTGTAAGTTGGTGTGACGCAATAAGTGTGAGATAATGACTAATCAATAAAGTCGAGTCAAATGGACAGGAACTAGTGGAACAGCGATAAAGTATTTTTTATATAAAATCTGTATGAAAAAGCAGTGTTATTAATAAACAGTAATAGAGTGGTAATAAAATATGGATGATGGGAATAATAATGATAATAAAATAATATTAGTAATAACAATAATAAT